TAGTAAAGGCAGACAACACAACACAACATCCTACCATCCTATAGTGAAGGCAGACAACACAACACAACATCCTACCATCCTATAGTGAAGGTAGTGACAACACAACACAACATCCTACCATCCTATAGTGAAGGCAGACAACACAACACAACATCCTACCATCCTATAGTGAAGGCAGACAACACAACACAACATCCCACCATCCTCTAGTAAAGGCAGACAACACAACATCCTACCATCCTATAGTGAAGGCAGACAACACAACACAACATCCTACCATCCTCTAGTAAAGGCAGACAACACAACACAACATCCTACAATCCCATAGTGAAGGCAGACAACACAACACAACATCCTACCATCCTATAGTAAAGGCAGACAACACAACACAACATCCTACCATCCTATAGTAAAGGCAGACAACACAACACAACATCCCACCATCCTATAGTGAGGGCAGACAAATACAACACAACATCCTACCCATCCTCTAGTAAAGGCAGACAACACAACACAACATCCTACCATCCTCTATAAAGGCAGACAACACAACACAACATCCTACCATCCTATAGTAAAGGCAGACAACACAACACAACATCCTACCATCCTCTAGTAAAGGCAGACAAGACAACACAACATCCTACCATCCCCTAGTAAAGGCAGACAACACAAATCACAACATCCCCAAATTAATCCTCTAGTAAAGGCAGACAACACAACACAACATCCTACCACATCCTATAGTAAAGGCAGACAACACAACACAACATCCTACCATCCTATAGTGAAGGCAGACAACACAACACAACATCCTACCATCCTAGTAAAGGCAGACAACACAACACAACATCCTACCATCCTATAGTGAAGGCAGACAACACAACACAACATCCTACCATCCTATAGTGAAGGCAGACAACACAACACAACATCCCACCATCCTATAGTGAAGGCAGACAACACAACACAACATCCTACCATCCTCTAGTAAAGGCAGACAACACAACACAACATCCTACCATCCTATAGTGAAGGCAGACAACACAACACAACATCCCACCATCCTATAGTGAAGGCAGACAACACAACACAACATCCTACCATCCTATAGTAAAAGGCAGACAACACAACACAACATCCTACAATCCCAGTGAAGGCAGACAACACAACACAACATCCCACCATCCTATAGTAAAGGCAGACAACACAACACACAACATCCTACCATCCTCTAGTAAAGGCAGACAACACAACACAACATCCCTACCATCCCATAGTGAAGGCAGACAACACAACACAACATCCTACAATCCTATAGTGAAGGCAGACAACACAACACAACATCCTACCACATCCTATAGTAGGCAGACAACACAACACAACATCCTACCAATCCCCTCTAGTAAAGCAGACAACACAACACAACATCCTACCATCCTCAGTAAAGGCAGACAACATTAACACAACATCCTACCATCCTATAGTGAAGGCAGACAACACAACACAACATCCTACCATCCTATAGTGAAGGCAGACAATACAACACAACATCCTACCATCCTCTAGTAAAGGCAGACAACACAACACAACATCCTACCATCCTATAGTGAAGGCAGACAACACAACACAACACCTACCATCCTATAGTGAAGGCAGACAACACAACACAACATCCTACCATCCTATAGTGAAGGCAGACAACACAACACAACATCCTACCATCCTAGTAAAGGCAGACAACACAACACAACATCCTACAATCCTATAGTGAAGGCAGACAACACAACACAACATCCTACCATCCTCTAGTAAAGGCAAGACAAATACAACACACAACATCCTACAATCCTATACAGCAAATAATTACCCCATGGTTCATTTAAATCCAATACAACAGAATAAAATAAAATAAAGGTGAAATAAAATACCACCACTGTCCACACACACACACACACACACACACACACACACACACACACACACACTGGGAAGGTTTGGCAGCCAACTAATGCACCACCCTCGTCATCACCACCACCTGCCACCGGCAGCCCCCCAGTCCCACCCACCTCGCGCAGTCCACCACAACAACAAAATTCAGCCCATAAGAGCCCGCACCGATAGATATAAGAACAGCACCATCCCATCTATTGTTAAAATAATAAATAACTCCTGATTTATGTACTGTACAGCTCTGTAAATGTATTCAACGCATATTATATCATTGTCTAAATCAAATGTAAGTGTATATTTTCAGCCACCGGCTGCAACTCTATTAATAAACCGTTTATTATTATTATTTATTATTATTATTACACACACACACACACACACACACACACACACACACACACACACACACACACAAATAGATGCTTACTGCCCTGCCTTTTTGTTTGTCCAGCGACCCAGGTACACACACACACACACACACACCTGCGTCTGTGGCATTAAGGGACAGGTACAGAAGGACTTTATGGTGACCCTGAATGTAAAATCAAAGGTTGAATCTAAAGTCAGCAAAGGTTATGAACTTTGACCTTCGAGTAGAGTGAATTACGTAAATATATTCGTGAATTAAGCAGCATAGAGAAGATAATTTAGTTTTTTACCTTTTGAGTGCAGTGTTGATATCCAGTTTAGGAAAGGTTACCGGTACAGATTAAGGAGTTTTGTTTTCTGTGTATTTTAATTATCTACAATACAGAAATTATCATGTACTATGTAAACTACAGGATCTGGTGTCAAAGAGATTTACTGTAAGGACGATAACAAGGGATAAGTTCTGCTCAAGTTTTGTGCTGTATTGTCGGTGTTTACAAGTTAACAACACACACACACACACACACACACACACACACACACACAACTCGTCAATCAGCTTCCAGTGTTGTCACCTAGATAATGGTTCAGTACTGTGGTGTGGTGTCTTGCAGTGGGGGAGTTCTTATACGATGGCCGTGGGGTCAAGGGGACACACACACATATATCCATCCCCCTCCACCTCTACACCCCCTCCTCCCCTCCCCCTTCCCCCTCCCCCTTCCCCCCTGAACCACTCTCACTGATAGTATGCAGCGTCTAGTTTCACCTTGAATATATCTCCAACTTTTGTATGTCTTCGTCAGTGTGTTTATTCAGTCCAGTGGCCGCCGCCTCTCGTGATCTGACTGATGGATGTTGTTGATCTTGTGGTGAGTGAGGGGTGGTTTTTGTTGTGTGTGTGTGTGTGTGTGTGTGTGTGTGTGTGAAAGGATAAGAGGGCGTTATAGTGTTAGGTTATAGTGGATTAAGTTAGGTCGGGTTATTTACGCTTACGTTAGATTGGTTTAAGTTAAATTGGGTTATTTTGACTGATGTGTAGATTAGTTCATTAACCTCTTGTGTACGGAAGCTTTCTCTGTGCTGACTAAGGTCGTCTGGTCGTTGGTTACAGTATAAGTGACGCCCAGTAGTGGTAGTGTATTAAACTGGGTTAGATTAGGTTAGGTTAGCTGGGGGGAGTTAAGGTGGGGGGCGGAGTAAGGTAGGTTAGGGTAACTTGGATTAAGATCGGGTTGATGGGGGGGGGCGGAGGGCAGGCAGGCAGTAACCACTTTCCCGACCCTGACCACCTGTGCAGCTCTCTGTTGTTGTTGTTGTTACTTTCTTATGATTGTTTTTATTGTTGTTACTGCTGTGTTGTTGTTGCTGTTGTTGTTACTGCAGCTGTGTTGATAGTGGTGATGACTTTGGCAGTTGTAACACAGGTGAGGCAGTAATTACAGGGGACAGGTGAAGGTGACACTCAGGGGTTTGTGTTGACGTCATTTGCCTCACGGTCTGCCTCAAGGAACAACCCTTGTGTGTCTGTCCGGCTCCTCTCTTCTTCTCCCTCCCCTCCCTCCTCCTCCTTGGTATTTCTTTTCCTCATTCTCCTCCTCCTCCCCTCTTTCACACACACCCTGAAACTCACGATCGTCTTAGTTAATTTTAAAAACATATATTAATTAATTATGAAAGACTGTATTCTTATCCAACCACTTGTATACTCTTTAAATGTATGTGTATGTATGTGTGTTTTTCTGTGTATGTTAGAGAGAGAGAGAGAGAGAGAGAGAGAGAGAGACTCATTAACCATATACACGCACTTGCCAAGAGAGTGCGTGTGTGTGTGTCGTTGTGGCGTCGTTTGTTTTGGTCTCCTCCGCCGTTCCCGTATGCCGTGACCAGACTCTTAATATTTTTGTGTGTATCGTACGCGAGGGATGCCTAAATTAACGTACTTGGTCACCTATTTTGTTTATATCTCGTTGCCATGGTTACTATAATACCGACCCTCTGTGAACTGTAATAATGATCCTTATTTGTCTTTTAACTAATGATTAACAAATATAATTAACTGCAGATTGGGAATAGGTTAGAATAATTAATAATGATTTATATTAGAGGTAAAGTTTGTAAGTGTAGAGTTCAGAGTATTTCTGGGGTAGTGGTCATCAGACAGTAGGTTTGCCTTGTCTTGCCTTAAACTATGTGTATTGCGGAGGTGTGTGTGTGTGTGTGTGTGTGACCTTCACGTATATAACTACACCACCGCCTCCTTGTGTTTTTGTTTGTGTGTTTGTTGTGCATAGTTCTTTTGTTCACAATGGTAATATTTTGTTGTTGGCTGGCTGTCATGGTAACCTGTCACACCCTTGTAATGATGATGATGATGATGATGATGATGATGATGATGATATCAATAATAACAATAATAATAATAATAATAGTTAAATAATAATAATAATAATAGTTAAATAATTATATAAGTAATAATTTTAACTACTAGGAGTTACTATAGTAATATTAATGATAATAATATGATGATGTTGATGATAAAATATTAATATAGTAATTATAATATTAGTGACCAACAAAATTATTATTATTACACACACACACACACACACACACACACACACACACACATACACAGATTGTTTCAAAGATTAACGTGCATGTGTTTATGTTTACAGGTGTGTGTGTGTGAAGGAAGCCAGCACCAGTGTTGACCAAGGATGGGGTGAGTGTGTGTGAGTGTGTGGACCATATCTCTCTCTCTCCATACAAGACCTTTATATTTCAAGGCCTAACTGATCTAATTAATTATCATTATCTTCATTATAACTAATTATATTCCGGAAAAGTGAGAAGTGAACACCCTCACTTTAAGAACATAAGAACATAAGAATGGAAGAAACTGCAGCGGGCCTATTGGCCCATACTGGGCAGTCCCATTTACACCCAACCCCTATTGCTCATATGAACATCCAACCTATGTTTGAAGCTATCCAGCGTATTCGAGTTAATGATGATATTTGGTAACTTGTTCCACTCATCCACTACTCTGTTTCCAAACCAGTGTTTACCTATTTCGCGCCTAAATCTAAATTTGTCTAATTTAAAACCATAGTTACGAGTTCGCTCCTGGTTGGATAGTTTGAGTACCTTTGTAATGTCCCCTTTGTTCAGCCCTGACTTCCATTATACACCTCTATCATATCGCCTCTCACTCTACGTCTCTCGAGGGAGTGCAAATTAAGATGCTTTAACCTGTCTCTGTACTCAAGGTTCCTAATGCCCGGGATTAGTCTTGTCATTCTCCTCTGAATTCTTTCCAAGGATTCTATATCCATTCTGTAATAAGGTGACCAGAACTGAACTACGTAATCCAAGTGCAGCACCGGGGAGGGGGTGACCACGAGGGGCCACGGGAAAGAGTGACCAAGGAAGGGGCAAGGAGGGTAAGTGACCAAGGGGATTCGGGGAGGGAGAGGAGACCACTTTGATCGACTGTAACTCTCTAAGGCAGGCAAGATGGAGGGATCAAGAGAGCTGCCCCCTCACGCACTACCTGTAGCCTCTCCACACCTGTAGTTTCCATACCTCTCCACACCTAGTGCCTCTCCATACGTCTCTGTAGGTCCTGTGTTTGCTACCACTCAAGAAGACAAGATTAAAAACCATTCAATAATTTGATCACGGCTGCAGGATGGTGAGAGAGAGAGAGAGAGAGAGAGAGAGACGACGCGTAGGTGATTTTAACTCCGTCGAATACTTATCCTTGCGTGTGTGTGTGTGTGTGTGTGTGTGTGTGTGTGTGTGTGTGTGTGTGTGTGTGTGTGTGTGTGTGTGTGTGTGCAAGCGCGAGTGTATATTTATGTAGGTATGTAATATGTATGTATGTATATGTGTGTTATTTTCCTCAGTGTTAATTAACGCTTATGTATGGAGATAAATAAGTTGAGAGAGAGAGAGAGAGAGAGAGAGAGAGAGAGAGTAACCTTGGGTAGGGAACATCTTGGAATATCAATAAGGAATGTCTTACCCGTGTCAAGAGTGGGAGGGGAGAGAGGGAGGAGGGAGGAGGGAGGGTGAGGTGAGGGAGGAGGGTGAGTGGAGAGGGAAGGGAGGAGAGGAGGAGAGGGAGGGTGAGAAGGAGGAGAGGGAGGGGTGAGAGGGAGAGGGAGAGAGGGAGGGAGAGTGAGAGTGAGGAGAGGGATGAGGAGGAGAGAGGGAGAGGAGAGGAGGAGGAGGAGGGGAGGGGTGAGAATGGGGAGAGGGGAGGGAGGGAGTGAGAGGGAGGGGAGAGAGGGAGGGAGTGAGAGAGGGGAGGGATGAGGTGAGGAGAGGAGGTGAGGGAGAGAGGGAGGATGAGAGGAGGTGAGGAGGAGAGGAAGGGGTGAGAGTGAGGAGAGGAGGGAAGAGAGGGAGAGATGAGAGTGAGAGGGAGAGGTGAGGAGAGGGATGAGAGTGAGGAGAGGAAGAGAGAGAGGGAAGAGAGGGAGGGATGAGGGTGAGAGGGAGGATGAGAGGGAAGAGAGGAGGGATGAGAGTGAGGAGAGGAGGATGGGGTGAGGGGGAGAGGACTGAGAGTTCTAGGATATTCTTGAGTTATTTGGACCTGTCAGAGAAGCGGTGTACCCCTCAAGGTTCACCTACACCACCTGATTCTCTCACCTACACCACTTGATTCTCTCACCTATACCACCTGATTCTCTCACCTACACCACCTGATTCTCTCACCTACACCACCTGATTCTCTCACCTACACCACCTGATTCTCTCACCTACACCACCTGATTCTTTCACCTACACCACCTTATTCTCTCACCTACACCACCTGATTCTCTCACCTACACCCACCTGATTCACCACTAATTCTCCTACCACCTTATTCTCTCACCTACACCACCTGATTCTCTCACCTACACCACCTTATTCTCTCACCTACACCACTTGATTCTCTCTCACCTACACCACCTGATTCTTTCACCTACACCACCTTATTCTCTTACCTACACCACTTGATTCTCTCTCACCCACACCACTTGATTCTCTCCTACACCACCTGATTCTCTCACCTACACCACCTGATTCTTTCACCTACACCACCTTATTCTCTCACCTACACCACCTGATTCTCTCACCTACACCACCTGATTCTCTCTCCTATACCACCTGATTCTCTCACCTACACCACTTGACTCATATATAGTAGTGGTGGTGGATGGTTGAATGGTAGTCATGGTTGAATAGTTATGGTAGTGGTGGTAGGTTAGTAGTTATGATAGTAGTAGTTGAATAGTAGTGGCAGGTTAGTAGTGGTGGTTGTAGTGGCGAGGTTGTGGTGGCTGGCTGTGTAGTGGTGGTAGGTTAGTAATTGTGGTAGTGGCGTGGTTGTGGTGGGTGGCTGGGTGGTGGTGGTAGGTTAGTAGTTGTGGTGGTTGTAGTGGCGAGGTTGTGGTGGCTGGCTGGGCGTTAGTATTGGTTAATGGTGAGTGAAGGTGGTGGTAATTGAACCCAGGTTGTGGTGTGGCTGGCTGGGAGGCGTTGAAGTAGTTGTGGTGGTGATGTGGTGGTAGTGGCGAGGTTGTGGTGGCTGGCTGGGGGCGTTAATGGTGGTAGTGGTGGTGGTAGTGGCTTGATTTGTGGTGGCTGGGAAGGCGTTGAAGTAGTTGTGAGTAGTGATGGTGGTATTAGCCAGGTTGTGGTACGCGGCTGGCCCAGAGCGGTGGTAGTGATGGTGGTAGTGGCGAGATTGTGGTGGCTGGCTGGGTGGTGGTAAATAGTGTTGTCATGAACATTATAACAACTATTGCTTTCACACTTATCGCCCCCCCCCCTCTCTCCCTTCCACCTCCTTCCATCTTCTATCTCCCTCGTCCCCTTCCCCCTCTCTCCCCTCCCCTCCCACCCCTCTTCCCCTCCCTTGTACGATTATATGGCACACTGGGAGGGTGGTTAATGGTGGATGGAGGTTGTTTGAGGGTGGGTGGCTTTGAAGTAAGTGGGCGGGGCGGTGGCGGCGTTAGTGAAGTGGGCAGGGCGAATTGGTGTTAATTAAGTGGGGCAGGTGGCGTTAGTAAGTGGGCGGGCAGGTGTGTTATTAAGTGGGCAGGGCGGGTGGTGTTAGTAAGTCAGGCGGGGCAGACCCAGTGTTGAAGTAAGTGGGCAGGGCGGGTGGTGTTAGTGATGGGCGGGGCGGGTGGCGTTAGTAAGTGGGCGGGGCGAATTGGCGTTAGTAAGTGGGCAGGGTGGGTGGCGTTAGTAAGTGGGCAGGGGCGGGTGGCGTTGTAAGTGGGCGGGGCGGGTGGCGTTAGTAGTAAGTGGGCAGGGCGGGTGGGTGTTTTAGTAAATTGGGCAGGGCAGGTGGCGTTAGTAAGTGGGCAGGGCGGGTGGTGTTCGTAAGTGGGGGGGGCGGGTGGTGTTAGTGACTGGGCGGGGTGTGGGTAATCCTTTAACAACCATTAAGTTACAGCAGGAAGCAGTTACAGGTTAGCGCACGACAGCACCTGACATTTACAACACGGCTCCGTCGCATGTTGTGTGTTAGCTGGTGTTGTGTGTGTTAACTGGTGTTGTGTATGTTAACTGGTGTTTTGTGTTAACCGGTGTTGTGTGTGTTACCTGGTGTTGTGTTTCAGTTGGTGTTGTGTGTGTTAACTGGTGTTTTGTGTTAACCGATGTTGTGTGTGTTACCTGGTGTTGTGTTTCAGTTGGTGTTGTGTGTGTTACCTGTTGCTGTGTGTGTTAACCGGTGTTGTGTGTTAAAAGGTGTACGTATACATAGTTAACTGTTTTATACTTTTCACTATTGCATGTATTATGTTAACAGTACACCCGTTAACTAATGATCTTCACACCGTTAACACTGACAGGTGTGTTAGGGGAGGGGGGGGGTCACTTGTGCAGTTAAATGTGTAATGGAGTGTAGCACAAGTCTGGTATTATTATTATTTATTATTAATATTTATTATTATTAATATTATTATTTTTATTATTAATATTATTATATTTATTATTTTTTTATTATTATATTTTTTTTATTGGAGGGTGTGAAGAATACCATAAACATTTTTTCAGCAGTAATGAATGTCACCTGAATTTTTTTTTACTTCCCATCCTGCCTGTAGCCACACCCCTTTACTTTAGTCTACAGACTCTACACCAATAGGAGAAGCCAAAATATGTGATGTAGGTATTCGTATTGAAATCATTGGCTGGTGCAGGAGAGTTAGTTTCTGGTCGGCCAATCACGGATGGGTGGAGTTAGTGATTTTTTGAGTTAACACAAGGTCATAGTCTGGCTGTCACGGAGAATTCCTGGCTGAGAGATGGTGAATTAGTCGAAACCTGCCGTGTGTCGGGAGAACTGTAACCATGTACAGTATTTTTCATCCAATAATAATAATATAATGTAATTAATAATAAAGTTGTGTTACTGTTATTATTACTACTACTTTATTATTAGTGGTAGTACAATAGTAGTAGTTGTAGTTATTTTTACCATTTTTATTATTATTGTTATTATTATTATTATTATTATTATTATTATTTTATTGTTTAAAAAAATTTAGGCAAACCTCCTGTGTTTCAGAGTGTTTGATGGGCAGGCCAGAATGATGAAAAACTCCGGCCTTCTTAGGTGGAGCAACAACAAGAACAACAACAACAAGACAAACAATGCTAAAAATGGTGAGTGGCCAACTTGTCATTGTTTCGTTATTACTATTATTATATTCTGTAGTCTGGGCGGATTGATAGATGTGTGTGTGTGTGTGTGTTGTGGTGGGGAAATGAAGGGGAGGAATGTGTGGGGTATTTATTTATTTATTTTTAACTTATGGATGAGAAGTTAGCAGGAGGAGCCAGGTGTTCAAGGGCGCTGTCTGCTGAGGCACAACTGCTTCAGAAAATTGTTAAAAAAAAACTGACATACGATACTCAGATTTTGTCTGGTGAAGTTTTATTCTCTCGGTGAAAATCTATGCGTGACGACACCACACGCTACAGTATGTTGTAGAAAACACCTTCATGTATACGCTATATACATGCACATACTCTTTCTGGGGTAAAGTTATATATATATATATATATATATATATATATATATATATATATATATATATATATATATATATATATATATATATACACAGGTATATATAGTATAGATACCTGCAAAAGTGCTTATTTAAGGTGAGGTTGGTGACTGTGGCAGGCATCAGTACACTGGGCTTGGGTCACAACACCTTCAGCACCACGCCGGCGGGAACCACACTCCCGCAGCTCCCCCAATAAACATACCAAATTTTACTTTTTGTTCTTAATCGAGTATAAGACGCCTCCAGTGACGGTACAGTCTGGGTGTAATTTCGTACTCATTTAAACCGATAACTTTGTTGCTCAGGTGAACCAAATACACCGTGTTCACAATGTAATTTGCAAAAGAATGTAAGAATGTATTAGGAACCTTTGAAAAGTCGCGTTTGTTTTGTACCGTAAGCGACCCGGTCAGATAAACGGAACTCTTGAGTCTATGTTTTTGTCTTGATTAAGTTACCTGTTAGTTGGGCTGTCATTTCTCGTTTTAGGGATAAAAAAACAGTTTGACGAGAGAACCTTTGAGCATAAGAGCTAACTTTAAGAAGCGACAAACCCCGCAATGACAGGAGTTCGGGGGAAAACAAGATGGATGATCCGTGGTTCTCAGAGCGTTGTATGTCTCATGCTCCTCCACTAAAACTCTTCTTGGGAATTTCACTTTTGCATTTCTGATGGTCTGGATTAATAGGAATTTACTTCGTGAGCAGTTGAATTTATAAATTATTGTCAGTTTTCGTACATGAGAGTACTGTATTTCAATTAGCATGTTTCATTTATGTAACAAAATGGTGTGTTGTATAAGCCATAGGGAACAATTCTCGAACAAGAGTAAAAGTGTTAGTGAGGCGAGCGTCGATTTCTTGTTATTTCTGGTCAAAGGTCTTCCTCGTGCGTGACCATAAAACTAATCGGTGAAGCAAGTGTAGGAAAAAAAGAAGAGAACATCACTTGCTTGCTGGTGCGTGCAGTGGTTGACCGGGTCTGGCTTTGCTGGTGTCTGGCTACCCTCAGTATTGTCAGGCGCGTTGAGGAATTAAGAGAATACAGGGTATCTGAATTGATGCCAAATATGTAAAACATCTTCCCGGACAGTTTAGAGCATTTTTTTTTTTACGAACCAACATCCGATCAGGGAGTCTGCTTTAGTGTCACCATCAAGCAAATAGAGCAGTTAGTTTTCTATACTCACTACCTGACACTTTTAACAATAGCTGGTCACTGTAGTCATTGCAACACTTTAGAATTTTCGAGAAAAAGGTGTTTGGTGTACATTGTGTATTACGAACTCACCGGAAGCAGCGAGTCCACCACCGTAACGTGACGGTCGTTGAGAAATTCTTTAACGTCACCGCGAGAGAATGAAAGCGTCATGGTTGACGGCGCTGAGCTTTGGCGGCAAGTTCGGGAATATTAGCTGTTTATTGTTAACATTAGAATGTGTACGGTATGGTAAGTTTTGGCGGGAATATTAGTTGCATAGTGTTGACATGCAGGAGCGTATGGAAAAATTGGCGGGATTATCAGCTGTTTACTTTTGATGTGTTTTTGTTTATGAGATGTTTGGGCGGAAAGATCAACAGCTCATTAATGACATTCACTTGTTGTTGATGGAAAAAACCCCAGAAAATATCACTTACTTTGCATTAACATTGAGGCCTTTACGGTAAGTTTTCGTACAAGATCAGCTGTTTAGTATGACAAGTGGCCAGTGGAAATTCAGATGTTTTAGTTGTTGATATCCGGTTGTGTACCATGTGTTTTGGCGGCAAGATGGATCAGCCGTTTAGTTTTTTTTTTTTTTTTTGGTGATCTGCTACGTGTTTCGACAGGAAGATCAGCTGTTTAGTGTTGACATCCGGTTATTTACGGCTCAGGGGTGACTCCCAGAACCATCGTGCTGTCTCGGGCACGTCACTTGAGCGTCACCTCTCGTCAACATGTACATCACCACCGGAAAGTTGTCACGTTCACTGGTGGCTGAAGTGGGTGGGCGGGTGCTGTGTTTTGTCGACTTTGTTTTACAGCGCTCGGTAATTTAATGTGTTTACCAGGCTGGTGCTGATGATAATATCGTACTCAGTGATGTTGGCTGTACTAGTAACAACATTGACAGCTATCAGTGACATTATTGACTTTATCAGTATTATGTGTAAATGTTGAGGATTACCTGAAGAATCTCCGCCCCAGTTTATTTCACCTTAAGATTAACCACCTTAACTAACGTAACGTAACATAACTTCATCCCCTAAATAGTGTTAGGGTGGTTAATCTGTAGGTGAAATAACCAGGGATGGAAATTCTCCAGTTGACCCAATGTTGAATATCATTTGCTTTAAATGTTACAAGCAATATACGAGGGACTGTCAGGGGTAAAGTGGATTTATTTGTTAGTACAGTACCAGTACTGAGTTAAGTGTTACACCATTACTGAGTGTATGGTGCAGAGTGTGTTGAAATTACCGGCTGGCAGGTTCACTTCATACACGAGGGGCGCCAACTTGTCAGCAGTATGTATTATAGGTAAGGTATGTGTTGTGTAGTATAGTGAAGTTAGGGGCGTCACTGTGCGAGGTGGGTCGTATGACGGTGTTGGCACAAGTGAGCTTTGTAGCCTGGGGCTGTAAGGCTGGCGACCTGCACTCACCCACCCACCTCAGCTTACCCTCGACTCTTACACCACCAGGCCATTAAGGGTGGCATAACACTGTATTGTACACGTGACTCACCTCTACTGTTAACCCGCAGAAAGCAACGAATAGCCTAATTGTTGGTGTTTGTGCTTCGTGCACGGGAAAGTGACACTTGTCGCTGGTCGACGTAAGCTGTAATGCACAATGCCTGCGGTGGAGGCGGTTCCCGAGCCTCGTGTTGTCGACTGCTTCTTGTTCATCAACCACACTGTTACCTCTCCCTAGTAATTCCGTGTAGACTGGCTGTTTACCACCAGTACTACGTGAATGTAGGTGGAAGGTGGAGGTGTGGAGCTGATGGGGAGAACTGTGGGCGTGGGAACCCGCTTGTATATAAGAAAGTCGGCGAGATTTCGGTAACAGCCTCCAGCCAGGGGTGCCAACACTCCGTCTTTCCCAACCTGTACTCCTCACTCGCCTTCGTTTAACCTCGTTCATGACACTTAACGCGACACTGAACCGTAATTCTGTTATGTACTTCAGGCAAATGTATTCTCAAAGAGTGTTGGCGGTGTTACGGTTGGTACATTAGGTGTGGTGGGCGAGTGTTGTAGTGGTGAGCGTGGCTAGGTGCGGGTGGGTGGTGGTGGTGTTGCCGTAACGTCGAGGTTCAGTTAGTCGTAGTGCGAGTGTGGTGGTGAGTGTAGCACGCGCGGGTTACCTTAGCTCCTGGCGGTGAACTTTTACACCTTGTTGATATGCAGGACACTCATCAAGGTGTATCCTGGTGTAGTGCATTCCTCACACTGCCCGCGCCCCCCACTACACTCCCTCACTACACCGTACTGTTATACCGGAATTCGGGGTTCATTTCGATAGTTTACTCTCTCCATTGAGTGTATTGTACTTGGTTGAGTGTACATGTTGCCAATTTAGTGTGTTGCTTGTTGAGTGCATTTATTAGGGACTGTCATTTAAAAACAAGTATTTAGTTTGAGGTTGTATGCATGTTTATAAAAACTAACATCAGTTATTATGTATTGGTGTATTGTCTTTATATACTGTATGCAAGAATATTGGATCACCTGAAGATTAATCACCCTGACTATTTGGGGATGAGGTTAGGTTAGCTTTAGTGCGGTTAACCTTTAGGTGAATAAGCTGGGGAAGAGAATCTTCAGGTGATCCAGAAATTTAAATAATTTGGCTAAATTCTTATACGTAATGGGTAAAATAAATCACGATTACTGTAAACGCTACAATATTTTAAAACAAAAACCTCAGGTATTGTAATGTTTTTTTTTGCGGAAGAAATATGTAGCTTCAGTAATCACGAACAAATATTATTTTTCGTTGCATATAAAACATAAATGCATAAACCTATTACTAGTGTTACTTGGTGAGATACTAAGCGAGCGTCTTACAGTGCTATTGTTCGGCAAGTGTCCACAAATACTCGAACCAAGTCAACCTTCCACCGCTTCATCTGTACACGCACCATACCACTGGGCTTTCGTAAACTCTTCCAAGCACTTGCACAACCACAGCACCCATTCTTTCTCAGTCTGCTTCTCAGATTTAAAGCCATTCAGGAATTTCTGGCCGCGTCACAAGACCCAACTCTTCAATCCTGTTAGTGCCATGTGTGAAGTGAAATGACCTTATTCTTTGTTCTTCCCCTAACATGACTGTGATCAGCTGGCTTGTTGTTCTATGTAAAAAGTGGTGTGTGTAGAATGTCATTACTTTCTATTTGCGCCTCATAATGTAACAGATAATAATTGCATTAAACTCTTGACAGAAAACCTTTAAATGTCACGTCTTCATCGGTAAATAACAGAGTTGATAATGCTAGGAACTCCCTGTTGAGAGATTGGCTCTAACTTTCTATCATTTTTACCCGCCAGTGGTTCAAGTCCACCGACCGTTTTTAACGTATGTGCTTCACGCCCTTTGTCA